CCGTACAGGCCTGATTTTTTTCAGGTCTGATTTTCGCTATTGCATAAATAGCGCTCTCTACTGCGAGGATCGTGCATCATACGTATCTAATACCGCAGTTCAAAATATATGAACTTCATATATTCATTGTATCTGATTTATCATCACGGGTTTATTACGAATCAACTTAACAGCCTGCTCCCAGTTGGCTTGTTAGCTCAATTGGTAGAGCGCTGCACTAGTATCGCAGAGGTCAGTGGTTCGAATCCCGTACAGGCCTGATTTTTTTCAGGTCTGATTTTCGCTATTGCATAAATAGCGCTCTCTACTGCGAGGATCGTGCATCATACGTATCTAATACCGCAGTTCAAAATATATGAACTTCATATATTCATTGTATCTGATTTATCATCACGGGTTTATTACGAATCAACTTAACGGCCTGCTCCCAGTTGGCTTGTTAGCTCAATTGGTAGAGCGCTGCACTAGTATCGCAGAGGTCAGTGGTTCGAATCCCGTACAGGCCTGATTTTTTTCAGGTCTGATTTTCGCTATTGCATAAATAGCGCTCTCTACTGCGAGGATCGTGCATCATACGTATCTAATACCGCAGTTCAAAATATATGAACTTCATATATTCATTGTATCTGATTTATCATCACGGGTTTATTACGAATCAACTTAACGGCCTGCTCCCAGTTGGCTTGTTAGCTCAATTGGTAGAGCGCTGCACTAGTATCGCAGAGGTCAGTGGTTCGAATCCCGTACAGGCCTGATTTTTTTCAGGTCTGATTTTCGCTATTGCATAAATAGCGCTCTCTACTGCGAGGATCGTGCATCATACGAACGATAGTATGTTGTGAACATAATCGAAGGCCTGAAACAAAAGATCTGTCTGGCTTTGCATAAGTTCTCTTTGCATTTTAAATCGTATTTGTTTGTACAACTCAGCGTGGAGATTTTTATGCAACAAACGGCGAAAGAATACTAGTCGAAAATGATTTAGATATACAATACTGTATACCATTATGATCATGTATTCTCGGACGCTACCTGGTACCATAATGAAACTTTGCCAAATTAGATGCTTGGAGGGGTTAGTGACATAGCTTGCCTGTATGTATATTCTTAGTTATTGACTCGGTTATTTTAAAATTAAAAAATTTTCAGTTTAAATATGCTAAGAATCTCACTAAAATGGTTTCAAAGAGCACTTGTTGAGTGTTTAGGTGTTCTAGGGACGCGTTTCCTTTCTGTTTAATAAAAAATAAAATACCCATTAATGATTTCGCTAATCCTTCTTGTTCGAACGCACATCCCCATTCTCCAAATTATCATTTGCACAAAAATGGTAGAGGACTTTTCCCGCCACGTGTACAATGCAACAGAGAGACTTTTGTCTCATTTTCGACCAATCATGACGCTGTATTTAGGATACGATTGTTATGATCCAATCACTAAGCGTTAAAGTTTGTTTTGAAGTGTGAAAAATGCGCGCGACTAGGAGGGAAACTGACGCGCTAACGACTCAACAGCTGATCGCTGGGAACAAAAGATATTAACATGTTACTTGCTATATTCAGATCTATTGCCAGGGTGGCATAAATATTCGAACAGACTTACAAAAAAGGAAGGTAGGTTACTTATTTCTGTGCTGCGAAAAACCCGGCGACGGCATTGTGCCTCTTTAGAGGTGTGAATGAAAATCTCCGATCTGACGAAGAATGAATTTTACCTTCGGCACATGGATTATGCATATGATGTACACAATTCTTAAGTGAATGTCTTTTAGTCGTTTACAGCTGGCAGACTCACAAACGCGTTCGGAATTTAACCCACACCCGAGAAGAAAACTAGACTATTTTTAACATTATCAACAACAGGCCAACTTTTCCGCTTGGTTTTCTTCGTTTAAGGCTTTTTCTGACGTTTTCTTCATTTCCAAGAACCACAAAGCGGCGAACATTTCATAAAGATGACTGGATTAAGTCAAATCTGTTTTTGCTGATCATCAGAGGATGTTTTGAATGAAAGTGGAGTCTCTTCTTAACGAGATATTTGCCTAAGATTTGGTAAAGTATAATAATTTGAAAGTTCCACGGTTTTGTAGTTATGTCACAGCCGAAAAAGACTCGAAAGACGCGCTCGAGACCGTCGCGCGGGAAAACAACTCGCGACGAATCTCGCTTTGGCATTCGTTATTTACATCATCATATGTTCGTGGGAGACTCGCCTCGCGATCAACAACTCTGCCCGTATGAGTGCAAATGCGGCGCGTCGATGTCTTCAATTTACAGTGGAAAGACCCTGACTCTGCTCACAATCTCCATTTTAGTTCTTTTGATCGGCGTTACATTTATGCTGGTTGGTTATCTGATTCCTCGAAGATCAGTTGTTTACTTGGAGAAAAGCGATGGTTCTCGAACGATAGTTGATAAAACCGCCATCTCGTTTAACACTCTGTTGGACGATTTTACTCTGGTTGGAACTGTACTGGTACCGCTAGGAGCTTTACTATTCTGTGTTATACTGATCGTTCCACTCTTTCGTTCGTCTTCCGGTCAGAAGAAAGGGCAATATTTCAAAGCGCCAACTGAGGACGCGGCTTCCTCGGTAACGAAGACTAAAACTTCAGAAACTACTGCAATCGCTTCGGAGGACGGTCGTTCGCTGAGCAGCGTTTCATCTCAGTCAACAATTCAAAAAATTCCTGTTCTCGCTCTCGTTCACAACGTTCAACCGGAGCCAAAATCTCGTGATAGTTCTGGGTCTTCAGTGGGTAAAGGCAGAGAATACAGAAAGAAACCTGGCAAGTTCAAGGATTCATTTGACGAGGAAGAGGAGGAGGAATGATATTTGGCAAAAAAAAAAACAATTTCCTGTCTTAGAAAAAGAAATAGGGCTGTTATAGATTATTCAAATTATTTAATTTTGTTAAATTCTGAGGATTGAGTTTTGTGTTTTCCACCATTATTACTGTTTTGAATTTTTGAAATTTTCCGCAGAAAACGAATTTAATGATCCCTGAGTGCTAAATCCAAAATCTCACTCTTAGCCTTTACACAACAATTCAAGATCACAAATGAAATTATTTCCATATTTTTGTACGAAAAAAAATATATATATAAACCGGTATCTCCCAACCACGTAGTTATTTAAATTTCCGCTTGCGGAAGAAAGCTAGCTCGGTTTGTATGGAGGGGAAACGAAGGGTAAGAGTGTCACAATATTTGCTCGGGAAAATGAAAACTGTCGAAGGACAAGGAAACTAGCTCGAAGAGGGTGTATTCAACAGTGTCAATAAAGATGATTTAAATCATTTATACGGCTTGTCTCTTCAGATTTTTGCATAACCAATCACACAAGGAACACAATGCACTGAACCAGACAGCTGCCCAAAAAGAGTGTACAACAGGAAACAGAGTAACAAAAGACAGACGAAAAATTGCTTTATGAAAAAAAAAAATTGTTAAGTACCTTGAATTAGAGAAGTGACCTTGAGTTTGAATCATCGATAAGCGTGTTTGAAACGAGTAATGTTACCGAACGTTTTTTTTTTTTTGCTGGTCCGCTAATGGTTTCAAGTTTCTCTTGACTGGATAGTCTGAGACACGGGTCAAATGAAGATCTAAAAAAAAATCGACTCGTAGCCTTGTCAATCGTTGTCTGACTCGAGATAGGAAGATAACGGTAAAGATTTGCATATATTACCGTATGATTTTGGCCATCCACCAAGTAAATCTCTGTATGGAATGCTCTCTACTATTATTTATACTAAGTGAAAGTCAAACTCACTTCAGGAAAAAAAAGAGGAAGCAAAGTGAATTCGAGTTTCTCGAATGTTTGTTTTCTTTGTCTTTTTCACTAGACGTTTTTTTTTCGCCCAAGTGCAATGCAAGTAGCGTCAGTGAATATAACAGGGTGTGACCAAAGTGAGAAGAAAACAATTAAAACGAGGGGAACAACTGATTTTTCTCTCTCAAACTTGTTCGTTCAACTCCTCTTTCTCAGCTGTGTCCAAGACTCGATTAAATAAATGAGCGCTCAAGGAATCCGTACCGATAATTAGAAGCTTGATCACAATGTTACTCACTGAACTTATTAGGCTCGCGCAACAGGAACGCAATTGCGTCTGTCGAAGTGGAAGTGTTTTGAAATATTGATGAGCAATCGCGGTTCTATGTTCAGTTTGCGTTTTCTTTTGGTTTCTTTCATAAGCATTATCAAAACTCAGCCAAGCGTTCCTGAAACTATACTGTCCATTTCGCAGGCTGCATCTGGATGAGAGGGGACTTCGTGGAAATATAACTCTTCTATCATCCAATCACACACCTGCAGCATTAAATATCACCCAATCACACACCTGCAGCATTAAATATCACCCAATCACACACCTGCAGCATTATAAAAAGGCGAAAGGAATAGAAGTAACGGGGCTTTTCGATTTGAAAGTATTTTGTAATATTTGAGGACAATTGTTTTATGTTTATTTTTGTTTTTCTACTTTGTTTTGACTTGTTTCATAAGCACCATCAAAACTCATCCAAGGTTAATAAGACAAGGCTTAAAAGGAAGTTTCAATGGGGTGACGGCTTCTATGCCTGACGGTTGAATTTTTTGACCGTTTAATTTTACGACGAAAGGTTTAGTCATTGAGACCCTCTTCACAGAGAACAAGAAGTTAACCAAGTCTAAGCAAACAAGCTCTTAAGGAAAGGTAAATGTCGTTTCACATACTTCCGTTACGCCTGGTTCAAAACATTCAGCCGCTTACAAAGTTCCAGTTCAGAAGTCGAGAATTCCATTTCTCTCCTACCCTCCTGACACAAAGAAGGGATTGATTGCGTGATGTCTGCTTTCCACATTCGTTGCGTGACAATCTATTAATTTTTTTTCTCACATATTGACGTCTCATTGGTTCTGAAAACAAAGCAATACTGGTTTGATGTTCTAAAAAAAAAGCTAAGCTGCGAATATTTACTCTCAAAATTAGTCATGAAATTCTAAACGGTTACGCTCGTTGAATTCCTAGATGTTTCTGATCGCTTTCATGGAAGTTTTCAACAGTTACGCATGTTGTTTGTCTCAACAGTGTTAGCAAATGGCGTCCATCTTTGAGCCATCAGCGGAAAAAACTAACGGTACAAAGTTAGCGCGACTGCTAATTGATGGAGGTACACAAGGACTTAAAAACGTTCTAGAGTCTTTCATACATCCGCCTTCAACATTACAAATTATGTTAAACAACAACAAGGCAACCCTCGTCAACTTAAAGAGCAGAAGTATACTAAATGATAGTCAGTGGGAAAGGCTTTTTCCTCCATCAGGTGACCCACCAGACTCTAACACATTTGATATCACTCTTCTACATTTACTGCTCCGAAAAGTCTGTCCTGCTTTGACTGAACCTGCGACAGGATGGAACGAAATGCCTGCAGACGCAGATCACAGTCGCGAAGCAGAGATCGCCCGGATTAAATACTTTCGAAACAGATTGTGTCATAGCATTTCCACCGGTGTTCCTAATGACGAGTTTGAAGACAAATGGAACACAATTTCTCCTTCTTTAGTGGCCTTAGGGGTCGATCAGCTGGAAATAAACTGCCTAAAAACACAAGACATCGATCATGGTACACAGCGAAGGATCGATGAGGAAATAGAGAAATGGAAGCTTGAATTTGAACCAAGAATGAAGGTTTTAGAGCACGAAGTACAGCAGTTAAAAGGACAAATTTCAAATGACAAGCGGCCCAGTTCAGAGCAGAGCGGGTCTCTTGAGCTTCCCAATTGTCTTCCAGATGAGGCTCAAGATGTGTTCGGCCGCTCGGAAGAAATTCAACGAGCTGTAGGATTTGTTCAAAGCGGAACAGTCTCTATTGTTGCCTTAACCGGTGGACCTGGCTTCGGGAAGACCACAGTGGCTAACAAAGTGGCCCACGAGCTTGCCAAACGCAAAAACAGCCGAACTGTGTTATATTGCTCACTAACCTTCCAATCATCGCTAAACGACATATTTACCAAGATGATTCTTGCCTGCAGCAAAAGCCTTTCTCAGCCGACAGAGCATCCCAAACATTGGCTTCTGAACTGGAGCAAACAGCAATCTGGGAAAGTCACATTGATTCTAGACAGCGCTGATCGTGTCCTCGAGTCAGAAGATCGACACAAATTTGTGGATATGTTACGGGAAATGAGAACCTTGTCAAGGCAAAATCTAACTTTTATTACCACGTCTAGAAAAACAGTTAATGCACCCAGTCGTGATTTAAATATCCGAAACATTAGATTGAGTTCTCTCTCTTTGTCTGAAGCAACCAATGTTCTTCTTTCAAAGGTTGGCGATTTGGAAACGAGACAGGAGCTCTCCCAAAAAGAAAAATTGGTCTCACTGTGTGGTTGTGTCCCTTTGGCACTTTGCATCGTTGGATCTTTGTTGTCTGACTACAAAGAAGACAAATTAATCGACTTTCTCGAAAACAAACCTCTAGATGTGCTTCAGGACAACGATTTGTCGGTTGAAAAGGCCATTAAGACATCATTCGATCTCTTAACTGAAGCAGAACAAAAGGCATTGGCAATCATGTCCGTATTTCCAGGTTCATTCGATTCAGATGCAGCTGAGGCTGTAATTACAGCTGTAATGGTTACTGAAGTTCGGCCAGTTTCGATTCTCCAATCACTCAGAAACAGGTCTCTCTTGGAGCAGCCAAGTTCACGCAGATTTGAAATTCTTCAGCTTATCAAAATGTTTCTATCGAAAGATAGTCAAGCTAAGCATTCACAGGCTGTTACTCGAGGAAAAAAGGAAGCCTGTGCCCACTTCATTTGTCGACTTGCTTCCAATGCCAATATGTACTGGAGCAAAGATAAATGCAAGGAATCAATTTTGGAATTTAGCAAAGACAGACACAACTTCGAGTATTTCTTGGAAGTTTACATTGACACGATAATGATCTGTGAAACAGATTCTCTACAAACCTCCTCCGACTTTTTTCTGAAAAGTTTTCCACAAAAGTGCATGTATTTAGAAATGTGCCTTTTACCTAGCTTCTATACAAAAATCTTGGAAGAACTCTGGAAGTACTTCCACTCAATAAGCCACCCTGTTCACATCGTTGAAGTTTTGTGCCTTCTAGGACATGAAAAGAGAAAGGTGGGCAAGATACCACAGTACAAGTTTCTGATGAATCATGCGAAGCAAACATATTCTAAAAACTACAAAGCTTTCAAAACGAATGGTTTGTCGCACGTCTACTTTTTCAATAGTTATGCATATTTTCTTGGGGCATCAACGCTGCCCGGAAAATATGAAATGGTTTCTAAAGTTTATGAAATAGCTCTAATTCTTTGCAATAGAGAACTCAATAAACATCCAGAGACTGCAGCTACTTTGCAGTACATTGGTCGGCATCGCAAAAGTATGGAACATCTTCAGAAGGCAATGGACATGTTTAACCTGTGCCTCGGAGAACATTTCATGACAGCTCAGTGTCATAAAGCCATCGGAGACTTCTATTTTGGACCTTCTTTCTACAGGAAGGATAACAACGAAATGGAAAAATGTTTTGAACATTATGGGGCTGCACGGACTTTGATGAGAAATCTTGGTGTTGGTGACCACAAGGAAAGCATTTTGACGCTGAAAAACTACGGCGTTTGCTGCAAAAGCAAAGAAAATTATCACGAAGCGATAAGTGTTCTAACGAAAGCAAAACAAGTCGCGGATATTGAATTGGAGGAGGACCACAAATGGAAAGTGATGATTGAAACACAGCTGGCCCTTGTGTATGACTGCGCTGGAAATGCAGAAAAAGCGGAACAAATCATGGGGAAAGCTCTTAATATGAACAAACGCCTGAAGCAGTCAATTAGCCAGTTAGCAAATAAAAAAGAGATCTGGGAATTCCTGGAGCGTCATCCACAGGTTTACCAAAAGCTTCCGATGAGGATGAATTCTCGAAGTTAAGGTTGACAACTGTATCTGTACAATTATCCTGTAGTTGTTCATGAGGTCAAACTGAGGTTGTGCCTATTTTGGGCAAAGACGCTATCCCGATACAAATTTTTAGGATACCTGTGGATTGTAGGTGTAAGATTTCAAAGATCACTTAATACCATGGATAATTTCTTTCACCCTTTTAGTTTCGGTTAATGAATGGTTTGTTGAATTTTTCTAATAATTCCTAGTGGTTTAGGTATAAGGACTATTGTCAGACCACCAGTCTTCCCCTCCTGCTCCCCTCCCTGCGCTGGCTCTTCGTAGGGTCACGAAGTACCCGCTAGTGGCATGAGAATAACTGTGAGCGTGACTAAAAAGCAAAAAGAACCTTATAAGTCAAATTACGTCACAGGGAGCAAAATAAAACCATGATAAGGAAAAGAATCACAGTTATCTTTCATTACAGGCTTATCCTTAGCCGATTACTTTTTAATCCTTCCTAAGGAATGTTTAGTCGATCGTGGTGTTGTTGAGAAATAAATATCAACACTAATCGCGAGAAAATGCGATAAATCCGTCGATGTATGTTTAGAAGCGAAACAAGGTGTGTATTGAATGAGGAAATATATGTATAAAGGGGGTAAAGAGATACTCGCGTTGACTGTAACAAAAATCAAACTAGAAGCTTCTGTTCCACTAAATGTTCCGGGATAAAATAAGACTAAAAAAAACACTAAAACACAAATGTATTCATGTATTAACGGTTTCTGCAATCAATCTCCGTCTGAAATGATGCTAAATATCTTTTACTTGTCGCAACTCTTTCGCTATCCAAAACCTTTGAAATATCTTCCTGGCTTCTCGGTGAACAATTTAATAATGGGTCAGGGTCAGTTGCACCTTGGGCTGTGTGTTAAATCATGCGCGCAGTTATCCTTGTCCCTGTTTTTTGAGCTGTCCATAAATCCTACTGATTAATGAGAGCAATTTAGTATCCTTCCCTAAAGATGCAATCTTCTCCATCCATCTTCGAAAGAAAACTTAGAAGAATGCTTAAAAGCAAGATATTCCGACACGTTTGTTGGACTGTCGGGGTAAACTAGCTTGAATATCACGCGCAAATGAGAGGCATCAGGAGTCTGAACAGGAACTTGATTTTTCTCTCTGAGTCTCAGTCTATCTTTCTCTTTCTGTCCATTTGCGTCCCGCCCTAAACAGCTCTAAGCGCATGCTCTTAATATCCTATTCTATCACACGACCGAAAGGCAGAGATCCCATGAGATAGCACGGCGCTCGAGCAAGTCATTGCACGATTTGCGCTTAACGCGGTAAGTCATACAAATTCTTGGAGCTTGGTTTTTCTACGCTAAAAAACCTTCCTTTGACAAGAGTTACTGGAGAGTTTAACGCAGTTAGCCTTAATCGGAGTCCAGCTTAGGCCCTAACGTAGTGGGGTGCCAATAATTTTAGTGTGATTATGTCCGATCACGATGGCCACACAACTGACGAGTGCGCCCTTGGAATGTCAACGGACTTTGGCGCCCAGAGTATGCCTTCAGCCATCGCTTTCGCGGATATGTTCAAATCTGCCTTGGCTCCAGTTCTGGGCCAGCTGACGAGCTTGAACGAGAATGTGAGCTCAGTGGTCCTGAACGGGCAAGACGACTCCGATGAGGACGGTGAAACCGCCTCTAATGATGGGCCCGCCAAAACTATAGAAATGGACGCGGATTTGTCCGCGCTCCTCGCCTCTGCGGGAAAAGATGACAATAACGAGGCTACGCCGGGCGAAGACCTCTTAAAGGAACTCGCGCAAAACTTAACAGTAAGCGAGAAGACTTCTCCGCCCATTCGCGAAGGACTGGCGGCTATTTTCAATACTCTTTTGTCAGAAAAGATTGGGGACGAGAGGCTCAAAGCCAAACTGGACAAATATTCTCCCCCAGAGAATGTCCAGGGTTTGCGAACCCCTTTGGCAGGGTAAACACATTTTATAACGCTAACCCAAACATTTTCACAAGAAATTCGCGATAAACAACAAGAAAAACAACAAGAAAAGCGACCAACCTTCGAGAACTAAAACCTAAACAAAACTTCCCGTAAGGTCAAGGAAAAACCTTGACTAGCGATGACGATTTTCGCACGAGGGTTAAGCCCCATCACGACGCTGTCGGCTAAAAACACATCACTCAACTGGTAAAAATGAATGTGCGGTCTTGTAGCACATCAGTGACAAAGTAAGGCTCGCGTGACCCGCACCAGATTGCGATCATACTGAGACGTGGGACTTGCCCTCACATGCCAACAATAAATGGATTGTATTGTATATCAAATGCATTTGGTAACGATTCCGATTAATTAGTCGATCTGTATCTTTTACTATTTCCTCATCCACAATTTGTTTGTACTTTCCCGAGTTTCCTTGAAAACTAGAGATAATTCTGACGATAGCTAATTATAATGACTCTACATCAATGGAATACTTGCTTTGGTTTTGGAGATGTTTATATAGTGGCCAGTGATAAGCCGCCAACATATCAGACAGAACTTTGATCTTGAATCAACAACAGGGCATTACAGTTAACTTTTTCTGACAGCACAATGTGCATAAATCAATAATCCTTCTTGTAAACTACAATTTCATTTATCATCGCGTCCATATCACGTTTACAAGTAAGGACATGGAAAGCGCAGCCTCTTGTGATCTTTCTACTGGATAAAACCAATGGCTCAAGACTTATTAGTGTGCTTTTTGACGAAGGAACAGCTATTTTGCGCAAATTTCTATAGTCTTTTTACCCACCGGAAAATTTACAGGTCGTCTTAAGGTGTGTCCAAAAGGTTATTTTGGAGAAAAACTTCTCTAAATCCGAGGAAAGTCAATGTTACTCAAAATGGTTTGGCATATGCGCAAAGATAACGATAAAACGATTTTCAGCGCTTTCCTCTAAAAAACATTTCATGTTGACAATTTTATCCTCAAGAGATGAAAAACAATTAAGGTTGATATTCAAGTCCTCTTCACTCGGACTGTGGCGGGCTGCGCTGTAAATTTTCCTTATCGTATATAGTCTGGGTTTGCCAAGTTTCAGTCAAAAGAAATAAATGATAAATATACCGCAGAGATATATAGACCGCAAACACCACTAGACCAAGATCATATCTCTATACTGTCGTGAGATTCGTCCTTCGAAACGAAACTTCTATCGCGTTTATATCGAAAACGGCACGGTTTCCAATCGTCAAATTCTGCAAATAGGCTACTTACATAATAATCTTTAAGATGTGAGAGAATAAAAGCATTCTAAAAAAGGTCGAGTTGGCCTCCGGTACCGCCTTAACACGACCTAGTTTTGATCTTAGGGATTGAATTGAAAGACTTATGGACAATTGTGACATCGTGCGATTTAAATACTCTTTGTAAATAATATCTTCGCTATGCGTAAAATTTTCTCCCTCTTAAAAAACACTTGAGAAGTATAAGTTCGGTAATTAAAATACAGAACAACACTTTGGTAAACAAATGACAAGGAACAAGGAAGTCGAGGAAACAACAGCTATGGATGGAAAGATTAAAAGGGGTTGCAATAGCAAACTCGAAATATGTATGCTAAAATGGATGTTAAACGAACCGTGATATTAAGTTCCCCCCAAAAATTCATCTCGAATATTTAGCCTTACATAACACGTCAATCATGCTATGACAGGCACATGCAAATTAACCAATGATACAACCGAAAGTAAAAATATCTTTCTCGGAAACTGAAGCATTAAACTTTCTTAGAATTATTTTTTGCCCTCTTGTGAAGTGTTTTGAGCTGAACAGGCTGTAAAGTCATGTTAAAGATGAAAATTCTGTTCGTTTCCCTAAGGAAGCGAATTAGTCCACCAATCGCACGCGCGCATCGGTGAGGTACGCCTATTCTTCTATTTTAGAAACGACATTTTTATGAATATTTTACCACCAAGACCTTCCCTCGAGTTAAAACAGCAAAGATAATGGCTAGCGCAGCCTCTTCTCCTGTCTCGTCTGGCTCTTCTGTGTACGATGTATCAGAAGAAAAAACGAATGGCACGAAGCTGATACGACTGCTGGTTGATGGAGGAACTCACGTTCTGCGAAGTTTATTGTTTTCTGTCTACCAACCAGATAAATTACAAGTCGTATTAAACAACAATAAGGCAAAGCTTCAAAAGCTGAGGCGCAAAGGTAATAAAGGTGTAATCTTCAAAAACCAGTGGGAAATGTTGTTTCCTACCTCAGGTGATCCACCGGACTCAGAAAAGTTCGACATTACACTTTTACATCTCTTGCTTCGTGAAATTTGCCATCTTGCGGCGCCTTCAACTGGTTGGCAGAACATGCCTGCGGACGACGATGATAGCATGGAGCATAGTTAATCGATTAACTATGCATGGAGGCAAACATCGTCCGAATAAAATGTTTTAGAAATGAGCTTTCTCACATTTCCTCTACCGGAATTGCAAACGCTGCCTTCGAAGACAAGTGGAACAAGATAGCGTCGTCTTTAGAGGCCCTTGAAATGAGTGTTCAGCGAAAGAAGCATGTAGAGAAAATGGAAGCGTTGAAGAACGATCCCATTGATCACGACGTCCGGTGGCGTTTGGAGGAACAACCTAAGATATGGGAAAGGGTGCGGGAACAAGAAAAGATTGACACGACAATTTTCAGCCCCCGCAGCTGTTTACCGGACAAAATATCCGAAGAGAATATATTTGGCCGTGACAAAGAAATAAAGCAAATCAAAGATATGGTTGTGAAAGGAGACCCTGTTGTCCTGATCACTGGTGGACCCGGATTTGGAAAGACAACTGTGGCAACCGCAGCGGCTCATGAAATGGTAAAAACAGAGAATGACAGGATTGTGCTGTTTTGCAGTCTGTCGTCAACAAAAAGCTTGAACGAGGTTGCTACAGAAATGATCCATTCATGCGGAGCCGTCCAAACGAATTTGCCCGAGAATCCAGTTCAGTGGCTCAAAAACTGGAGCAAACAGATCCAAACTCAAGTGACTTTTGTCCTTGACAATGCAGATGACATCCTCGACTCTGACGATCGAACATCATTCCATAACCTCATGTATTCCTTGCGAATGCTTTCGGAGCAAAAAGTGACGTATGTCATTACCACGAGAAAGTCATTTGAAGATCCTAAACTTCAGACCAACGAAGTGAGACTAAACCCGTTATCAACCGAAGAAGCAGAGAGAATCCTTGTGTCTCGCGTGTATGACCAAAATGTCCGAAAGAGGCTCTGCAAGACGGATGAAATAGTTGAACTTTGTGGCTGTGTACCCTTGGCTCTCTGTGTCGTTGGATCATTGCTTCTAGATTACTCCGAGGAAAAACTAATAAAAAATCTTAAGGATCAACCTTTCAAGGTATTGGAAGATGATCAGTTGTCAGTGGGAAAGGCAATAAAGACTTCCTTTGATCTCTTGACGGTAGATGAACAATGCGCTCTTGTTCTTATGTCTGTGTTTCCGGGCTCTTTTGACTCAGATGCTGCTGAGGTCATAGTAGAAGCTTGTGCAAGCTCTGAAACCCTTCCTATTTCTATCCTTCGTTCTTTGAAAAACAGATCGCTTGTGGAGCAACCAAGTTCCCAAAGATATCAGTTGCATTCACTGATTAAAGCCTTCGCGAAAAATGTCGGTCGATCAGCGTCGTCTTTGGCTAAAGGAGAGAAAGTGGCATGTGCTCATTACATGTCTCGCCTCGCTGAAAACGCCGATTGTTACTGGGGTAAGGACACTTGCAAGCAGTCCCTCGATTCCTTTAATGAAGACAGGCACAACTTTGAGCACTTTCTTCAAGCCTTCGCTCAATGGAGGTGAAGTGAGGGCTTTGTGGCCATGAAATCCTGTGAAGCATTTTTTGTCAATCCTCACCAGAAATGCATGTACCTTGAGATGTGTGTCCTTCCCAGAGTTTACACCCAATTCTTACAAAAGATGCTCGAGGCTAATGCTACAGAAATTAATCCTGTTCACAAAGTCGAGCTTTTATGTCTTCTTGGACATGAAATGAGAAAAGTAGGAGAGGGAGAAAAGTACAAGAACTCCATGGAAGAGGCTCACAAGTTGTATTCCAAGAACAAAACAGAATTTGACGAGTATGCATTATCAGAAGTTATTTATCTTAATGGCTATGCTCGTTATCTCTCCGAGGAGAATTTGCCCACAGAATCCAAAAAGGTGCGCAAAGATGCTTTAAAAATCTGTCACAAAAAACTCCCCAATCATCCTGAACGAGCGATAACGTTGTTGTTCGCTGGAAGACACGACAAGCGTCTCAAAAAATTTGATAAAGCGGAGAAAAAGCTCAGTGAAGCATTGAATCTCCTCAAGGGGTGTCTTGGGAAACATTTAATGACTGCTCAATGCTTAAAAGACATCGCTGATTTAAAATTCAATGAAGACAACGGCTCCTCTGCAGTTGATTATTACAAACAGTCTCTGGAAATGATGGAACGCCTGGGCATGGATGGCCATAAAGAGACCATTTTAACTCTAAAGAACTTTGGATCTCGCCAAAAGAGCAATGGTAACTACGAGGAAGCGAGAGCTTTGTTAGAAAGAGCGGAACGCGTCGCCGAGAGAGAACTGGAAAAGGATCATATGTGGAAAGTAAGGGTGAAGACAGAGCTGGCCTTTGTGTTTCATGACGAAGGAAAAGAAGATCAGATGATAGAGACGTTGCAAAATGCACTTGAAATGTGCTCCAGACTAGGAAAAAGTTACAAAGACCTAGGTAACAAGCATCTGATCCGGGAAGTTCTAAACCGTCATCCCAATAAATTTCCAATGGACACGTACCCTCGCTGAAAGGAATGGACACCCCGTCAACCTGAATGAAGAATAAATAGATGAGGAACTTTTATCCCTTCACGGAACAACTGACTCAAGTTCATATTATCCTAGACTTGAAGATCAGTATGTTATTGTTTTAGACTTAAAATCATAACTTGATCTATCTCTCCTAAGGAGAGGAATATTTTTTGTAGGATTTTGGAATAATTTAGTGAGGATTAGGAGTACATGAAAAGAACAGCAAAGTGGATTTGATCAAGTATTGGCTATTCAGAACCCCGATGATTAAAGGAATGTCTCAAACACTTACTATGAAAATAGAGTTTTATAATTCAAAATCAACTAACACGAGATCTATACTGATTTCATTCAGAATTATTTTTCACACTGCATCAGCCGGCCATACGTTATCTCAAGGATGGAGGGGTAGTTTTAAGGGTGATTTCAGAAAATGTTACTCTCTGATGAGCAAACGAATCGATTTTTGAATTGTTCTTGTATATGAGGTGCACTTAGTCAAAAAGTGAAAACGCCTCTGAGCATAATCAGGTACTCGTTATAAAATTTTTTCGACTGCCTTGAAGTAGAAGTGGGCCGAAGAATGACGTACTTGTCACTGTGTTGTCACTTTCACAGGCAAGCTTACTGTCAAACTCACCCAGTTGTTTAGTTGTTTCTGAGGAGGTGTTTAGCGAATTTTTAATTGTTTTCCAGCGTTACGTCCTCCTCGCCTGGATATATTGCAAAAAATTACTGGTAACAATGATTACTGAATGAGTGACTGAATGGCCTATCAATTAAGGAATATATTTAGTTTTTGTTACTAGCTTTAGTTCATGAAGTTTAAAGGAGCAATAGGCTTGTGCAAGCTTTAAATGTGAACTCTCGGGACTGATTAAAAATAAGGAAATAACGAAATACAGGTCTCCAATGATAATCCGATAACACGCAAGCAAAACCAACAACGTCATAACATGATACCGGTTTTGTTTTGATCTTTTATTGTAGACAAACAAGTCCGAACTAGTCCGTGGGAAAGTTTGGGTACACAGAATATAATGTTGCGCCTAAAACGTGACCTGAAATCATGCGAGCGTGATCTGAAATCATGCGCGCGTGACTTCCTTGGAAAGCCGATATCCTGGATAATCTTGTACAATTATTTCTAAATATACAACATTTCGTGGAAATTTCTTGACCTCTAGGAATCGTTAAGATCATTATCTTCCAGACAACATGTATATCCGCCCCTAATATCCAGAGGGAAATGATGTCATATTATGGGTCACCTCTAACATCTTTTTGGTTCTGTGCAGACGGCTTTTTAAGTGCTTTTCAAAACTTAGGGAGGTGTTTAGACTTCGAATAAGAAAAAAACTGCAACTGGACATTTCCGAGTGCACCTCGAGCTAAAACTCGAGATTCTGATCGAACTGCGACGTGGGAATTTCCCTTGCATGCTACAATAAATATATTTATTTCCCCCCAAATAAAAAAAGTTTGTGTCCCCTGTCTTTGCTTTGTTAATAAATAAAGGCAAGGTGTACTGAAGGGTCGAAAATCACGGGTGACAGGCTCATTGCGTCCGAAATTGACTGAGCAATAATCACAAGACTTACTGGTGACTTTGATAACAATAGACTGTTCTTTACGTGAGAGTCACGAGTTTTTGATGGAAAACTACTAAGTCTCCAGCGATCAGTATAAGACGTGGCATGTTTCGCGGGTTCGCCGCAAATTGAGAAATCCCAACACGTAAATGGATCATATCGCATATCAGGTGAACTTGGTAGTTTTTTCGAGAAATAAGTCGATAATTATTCCTTGAATCTTTTGTCAACCACAGACGACTGGCACATGGCTACCAAGACTGCTGAAGGACACCGTGGATATTCCTACATCATCGAGTCTTTCCTGGAATTCTTAGAATTGGGACATTTCCCTGTTGGCTAATTATAAATTCATAATCGAATCCTTCCTATCATTGGGAAATTTCCCAGTTGACTGGTTATAAAATTCGCGTCGATTGAAAATCGCAATTCGTGGTTATCTGAAGACAAGTTTAAGTACCTACTCTTCTCGAAAGGAATTTGTTTCTAAAGAGCCTTGACGGTAGGCTATGGCAGCCGGTGGAACATCCTCGCCAACCTCTGCGAGTCCTTCTGGCCCCTCAGTAGTGACATTATCGAAAGAAAAGACGAATGGCACAAGGCTAGCAAGACTGCTCTTTGATGAAGGAACTAATGTTCTAAGGGAATTCTTGCAATCCACGCATCCAGGGCCAACACTAAAGCACGCATTAGACAACAGTCGCCCAAAGCTCGAGGGGCTGAGGCGGAAGCGAATACCTGATGAGCAATGGGAAAAACTGTTTCCTTCCTCAGGTAATCCCCCGGATCCCAAAAAATTCGACATCATACTTTTGCACTTATTGCTCCGTGAAGTTTGTCATCTAAAGATTCCTTCGACAGGATGGCACAAAATGCCAGCAGACGCTGATGCGAGCCCTGAGGCCAGCATCGTTCGTATAAAATGTTATAGAAATGAGCTGTGTCATAGTTATTCTACTGGAGTTCCGAATGACGAGTTCGAAGACAAGTGGAACAAAATATCTTCGTCTTTAGAAGTACTTGAGGTAGCCGCCTATCGGAAGAAACTTCAGTCCCTGAAGAGTGCTACTATTGATCACGAAACTCGCTTGCTGGAAGAGGAACTCGAACAATGGAGGAGAGAGAAAGAACTTGAGAAGAGTGGAAAAATCTCTGAGCTCTCAAATTGTCTGCCAGATGACATACCAGAAGAACATATTATTGGCCGTGGTGACCAAATTCAAGATATCAAAGACGAGATTCAAAGCGGAACGATTCCTGTAATTCAGATCACTGGTGGACCGGGATTTGGAAAAACGACCGTAGCCAAGCGGGTAGCCTTTGAATTAGCCAAAGCAGAAGATCAACGAAGTGTTTTGTTTTGTAGCCTATTATCGAAGACGAATTTCAACGAAGCGACTATGGAAATGATCAACTCTTGTCGTAAAGTGGTCAACACGCAAGTACAAGAGAATCCGGGACAGTGGCTTAAAGACTGGAGCAAACAGATTCAAAACCAAGTCACTTTTGTTCTTGACAATGCAGATGGTGTCATTGAATCTGAAGATCGCGAATCTTTCCTTAATTTCTTACGCGATGTAAGAAGCTTTTCACGACAAAATGTCACATTTGTGATAACTTCAAGAAGAACATTCCAAACTCCCGACCTGCCGTCAAAAGAAGTCAGGCTAGACCCGTTGTCAAACGAACAGGCCAGAAATCTACTGCTGGCTCAGGTTCAAAATGTTCAAGAGTTTTATAAAGCAGAGCGCATTGTGGAACTTTGTGGCTATGTTCCTCTGGCACTGTGCATTGTTGGATCCCTGCTTTCAGATTATACCGAAGAAACTCTTGTTAAAAACCTAGAAAATGAACCACTCGCTGTTCTGGAGGACGATCAACTGTCTGTAGAAAAGGCCATCAAGACTTCTTTTGATCTTTTGACTGAAGCTGGACGAGAAGCCTTGGTTCTAATGTCAACTTTCCAGGGGTCATTTGACTCAGTTGCTGCCGAAGCTGTGATGAAAGCATGCTCAATTCCTGGAATTCAGCCCATCCCGGTCATTCGCTCCTTGAAAAAGAGTTCGCTAATCGAGCAACCAAGTTCACGGAGGTACCAGATGCATCCCCTCATTCACTCGTATGCGAGAAAGATTGGTCAAGCTAAGCATGCCGATCTCTTAGCTAGAGGAGAAAAATTGGCCTGTGTTTATTTCATGTCTCGCCTTGCGGACAACGCCGAATTGTACTGGAAAAGAGACAGCTGCAAAAAGTCTCTTTCTTCATTCAACAAGGACAGAAGCAATTTCGAGCATTTTCTTGGCAATTATGCTCGAGGAAGGAGAGAAAAGGATGAAGAAATTATGGAAGGCTCTCAAACTCTCTTGGAAAGTTTTCCACAGAAGTGCATGTATTTGGAAAAGTGTCTTCATCCAAAGAACTATGCTCAGATCCTTGAGCAGTTATTGGACACATTTGACTCAACTAATCAGCCAGTGCATGTTGTAGAACTTTTGTGTCTTCTTGGACATGAATGTAGGAAGAAAGACCAAAAGAAGTACAGCGAACGTATGGAGACAGCGGAAGAAATTTATCGTTTGAATGCTGCCAAGTTTAGGGAAAATCCGCTATCAGAAGTCTACTTTCATAACAGTTACGCACGTTACCTTTCCGATAAAAAAGATCCTAAAGAAAACAAAAGAATCGAGAAAGAGACCCAATCAGCTCTAGATGTCAGTGTTACAAGTCTGTGTTATCTTCATCCAGAAACAGCAGCAACACTTCTTCTTTCGGGAACCAATGCAAAGCGCCGTAAGCAGTTTGATACAGCCACACAACAGTTAACTGAGGCGTTAGAACTCTTTAAACGGTGCCTTGGTAAACATTTTATGACAGCCGAAGCCCTTAAGGCCCTTGCAGACCTTTTTTTTTTTCGGGATGGGAAAGCAGAGGGAGAAGACAACTTAACAATCTGCATTGATTATTATAAGGCAGCCATAGAAATGTTCGACGATCTCGGAGAGGGTGGAAGCAAAGAGAGTATCCTGACTTTGAAAAACTTTGCAATATATAACCAGAAAAGAGGCAGCTTTGATGAGGCAATGAATATATTAAAAAAGGCGGAACCACTTGCCGAGAGAGAATTAGAGGAGAAACACGAATGGAAAGTTTCAATCAAGACCACATGGGCCATCTTACATGACGAGATGGGAAACACGGATAAGGCGAAAGAAATGATGCTTGAAGGACTGTCGATGGCTAAGGAACTAAACTTGTCGATAGAAAAGATGAGAAACAAAGTCCCGATACGATCGTTTATCAATCGTTACCCAAAGGAGTTCCCTGAGACGGAATTTCCAAGTAAGTAATGTCTCCAAGTTAGAAGGGGCCCTATAACTCAAACCTAGTGTTGGTCGACTCGAGCCAAAACTGATTTACCGATGAACTCTGTCATATATTTACTATTATTTTATTCTCGATATCTCAAACCTCTGATCAACTAGAACCAGTTTTTGTTTTCCTTGAGGATACTTTTAAAATAACCTTTCTCTTGATAACTCAAAAAAACAGATCTTTATTACTATTGAGCACATTGAACTGATTTGAAGCAGCCGAGTCTTACAACACTGTAGTAATTCCCTGTTTTCAACTTTCAGGAGGAGAAAAGAAGAAAGGAAAAAAGGAGATAAGAGGGAAAAAAGAAGAAATGCAGTGAGGATTTACAATAACGATTTTACGAAAGGCTAAGGTCCTTAACTAGATTAATTTTTAAGAGACCATAAGGACCGGACAGATAAACACATCGCAGGCATTATGTTTCCTATCCCAGAGCTCCTAATCTTTTTCAAATATTTTTCTTTTTAAGAAAATTTTGAAGAATCGGATTATTTTGATAAATTACGCTGGTGCATGGCAGCTTAAAGGAATACCGAAGAAGAGTTGCACAATTTTTTAAGTAATCCGCCTGATTTAAGGTATTGCACCCCATTTTTTTTATGGACAAACATTTTCATTTCAAAAAAGTCAATTTTTGTTATTTTGATCAGTCAGGCTTTTTGTAGGTCAGAATTTAGAGCCTCACTGACGATTTGCGGAGCACATATCCCTCCTACACCCCAGGTTGGAAGAGTAAATGGAGCAAAACAGTCGCTGACAAGCAGCACTGCTTAAAGTGCATATGACACGAAATTTTTTTCTCTTGTTTGTTGTTGGATATCTATAGAAAACGTTTCGAAGCCTTAAAAGTGCTGGAAACATCTAAAAGGCATTTGTTTTTGCTTTCAAAATACGCGCAATTTGCCTTCAAATTTGTCGCGGTCATCGCGCGGCCAAAGTCTTGTGACGTCACATTGTGTACCCAGATTCTTCGAAGTCAATGGAACTTTCAGAAGAGTCAGACTCAAAGGAATCATTAGAATCACTGGACATATGTGCCTTTCATTGCACTATCTATCTACTACGAAGTACTGCAGAATCCTCTTAGCGACAACAGGCCTTCGTGGCAAAGGTGCACAATGTGACGTCACGAATAACTTCGACGGCGATCAACTAGGTCCCAGTCTCCGGGACAAATTTGAAGGCAAATTTTTCGCACTTTGAAAGCAAAAAAAAATGCTTTTTACAATTTTCCAGCACTTTTAAAGCTTCGAAACATTTCCTATAGATATCCAAATACAAGAAACAAGAGAAAAAAATCTCGTGTCATATGCACTTTAAGTAGGCGACTTTTTTGTAGAATTTTGGAAAAATTTAGTAAGGATTAGAAGCACATGAAAAGAACAGCAAAGTGGATCTGATCAAGTATTAACCATTCAGAACTCTGATAATTAAAGGAATGTCTCGAACCCTTACTTTCAAAAGAGAGTTTTATTATTAAAAATCAACTAACGCAAGATTTGTAATGAGTTCATTCAGAATTATTTTTCACATTGTAACTCAGCCGGCCATACTCTATCTCAAAGATGGAGGGGTAGTTTTAAGGGTGATTTTAGAAAATGTAACGCTCTGATAAGCAAACGAATCGATTTTTGAATTGTTCTTGTAGATGAGGCACACTTAGTCTAAAAGGTAAAATGCCTTTGAGCGTAATCAGTTACTCGTTATAGAAATTTTTTGAATGCATTGAAATAGAAGTGCGCCGAAGATTGACGTAATTGTCACTGTGTTCTCACCTTCACAGGCAAGCGTACTATCAAACTCACCAGGTTGCTTAATTGTTTCTAAGGAGTTGTTTTTAATTAGTGAATTTTAATTGTATCCCTGTGTTGATTATTTTAACCGTATGGGTACGTCCTCCTCGCCTGGAAATAATCTAAAGAAATCACTGACAACAATGATTAGTGAATGAGTGACTAAATACTCTATCAAGGAATACATTTCATTTCGTTTTTGTTACTAGGTTTAGTTCAAGATGTGTAAAGGTGTAATAGGCTCGTGCAAGCTGTTAATGTGAACTCTTAGGGACTGATTAAAAATGAGGAACTAATGAAATACAGGTTTCCAACGATAATCCGATAACACTCAAGCAAAACCAACAACGTCATAACATAACATGATACAGGTTTTGTTTTCATCATAGACAAACAAGTCCGAACCTGTTTGTGGGAAAGTTTGGAAGACTGAAATGAGACTCTTTATGCTTCAATTTGTTGTGACTAGTTTCTACTGCGAGCCTTGGGTGATTTTTCCTTATTTTATAGATAACCATGCATGAAATAAAAGAGAGTATGCCCAATGCTGTGCCTAAAGCGGGACCTGAAATCATGCACGCGTGACTTCTTTGGAAAGGCGATATCGTGAATAATCTTGTACCATTGTTTTCTAAATATACAATGTTTCGTGGAAATTGCTTGTCTGACTTCTAGGAATCCTTAAGATCATTATCTTCCAGACAACATGGATATCCGCCCCTAATAACCAGAGTGAAATGATGTCATATTATGAGTCACCTCTAACATCTTTTTGGTTCTGCGCAGACGGCTTTTTGAGTGTTTATCAAACTCAAAGAAGTGTTTAGACTTCGAATAAGAAAAAAACTCCAACTGGAGATTTTCGAGTGCACCTCGAGCTAAAACTCGAGATTCCGATTAAAGTGTGACGTGGGACTTGCCCTCGCATGCTACAATAAATAGATTTATTTCCCCCAAAATAAAAAAGTTTTTGCCCTCTGCCTCTGCTTTGTCAATAAATAAAGGCAGGGTGCACTGAAGGGTCAAAACTCACGGGGGATAGGCTCATAGCGTCCGAAATTGGCTGAGCAATTATCACACGACTTTCTGGTGACTTTGATAACAAAAGACTGTTCTTAACGCAAGAGTCACGAGTTTTGATGGAAAACTACCAAGTCTCCAGCGATCAGTATAAGACGTAGCATGTTTCGCGAGTTTGGACTATTTGTCTTCAGACTTGACACTCGCCGCAAATTGACAAATTCCAACACAGAAAGGAGACGTAAAGGCATTATATCGCATATCCAGTGAACTTGGCGAGGCTTAATACGAAGTCTTCATGGGGTGACGGTTTTTGCGCCTAACGGTTACATTTTTTAATTTGGTTATGTCAACTAAGTTGAAGTTGTAAATTGCAATTGGCCACCGTAACGAATAAAAAAGCTGAGGTTTCGAGCGTTAGCCCTTAAATCTTTTGGCCGTTTACAAGACCCTCTTAGCAGCGAACAAGAAGTTAACTAAGTCTAAGTCGATAAGCTCTAAACGGAAACTAGGAAATGCCGCCTAACATACTTCCTTTACGCCTGGTTCGAAAAAAATGTTGCCGTTTTTAAAGTCGAAATTCGGAAGTCGATAATCGTTTTTTCTCCCCCACAAAAGGTCCTGACACAAGGAACGGATTTATTGCGTGACGTCTGCTTTCCGCAATCGTTGTGGCAACAATCAGTTTATTTATGTTTCTAACATACCGACATCTCATTGGTTCTGAAAACAAAAGCAATTCTGGTTTCTTGTTCTAAAACAGGTAAGCTGCGAAGGATTGCTCTCAAAGTTATTTAAGGAAGTTACACTCGTTAACTATTTCATGAGTGTTGGCAAATGGCGTCCATCTTTGAGCCATCGGAGGAAAAAACTAACGGTACGAAGTTAGCGCGACTGCTTATTGATGGAGGTACACAAGCACTTAAAAAAGTTTAAGAGTCTTTCATACATCCACTTTCAACTCTGCAAATTATGATAAACAAAAGCAAGGCGACCCTCGCCAATTTAAGGAGCAGACGCAAATTATGCGATAGCCAATGGGAAAAGCTCTTTCCTCCGTCAGGCGACCCACCGGACTCTAACACATTTGATATCACTCTTCTACATTTACTACTTCGAGAAATCTGTCCTGTTTTGATTGAACCTGCAACGGGATGGCACGATATAGAGATTGTCCGGATTAAATGCTTCCGAAATAGCCTGTGTC